TGCGACATACCAATTAATCATCACTATCAATACGTTGATCACCGCTTATTTTTAATAGGCTTTATGTCTTTTTAATCAAGTTATCAACAAACGGTTGAAATAGATTTTCGAAAGATATGTCAAGAGAGTTGAGAATTTCTAACCTGTTGAAGAAGAGGTGAAACATCGATATTTAAACGTTGATAACATTGTGGTCGATGAATTTCTAATACTTCTTCACTAATCATACTTGCGGTATCGAACGTATTGATATTTCAAGAAGCCATATAAGTATTATCATAGAGTTTTCCATCATGAGGATGTGGCTTGAAATAAAAAGAAGATACATACCTACAGCGAATCCTGAGTGAGAAAGGGTCTTAAGGCTGTCCTTTCGTTCGCAAATCGATTTTCGATACGGTGCATGCTATTTCCATGAAAATTTCTAAAGATCGTCGGGTCATGGAGCTACAGATATGAAAAAACTTCTTAGCCTCAAACTTTACCATTCGGAAGATTTTCAGGGACCAACTTTTAAAGTAGGACTTTCACGCCTACAAAATCCCTTTCAGTATACTTCAAGCTAAAGTGCTCGGGCTGGTCTCCTTTGAAAGATGACTCCTTGCTGCTAGAGATGAGGGAAAGAGAGCTTTTTATTTTATTTTATTTCATTTTTGAGATTGTCTAGATTTTCATAAACAGTGTTTTTTCAGAAAACTTGTGATCACTCTTCTATTGAAGATCGAATGTAAAATCCTTTTTTCTCATCCGAAGGACTAAGCACATATCTATCGATTAAAAAATACCGCAGCTCTCTAGAATGAAGCACATGGAAATGAAATTTGTTCGGAGATTGACCACTCGCATGAAAATCAATTATGAGAGAATCGCTAAACAAGCTTATAGCCGTTCTTACACACAACAAGGGAAAAAAGGAGTCCTAGAGGTTTTCTTGAAATCAGACATTCCAACGATACCACACATGAAGAGAAACCTTCATACTCAACATTTTAAAATTTTCGATAGTCGAATAAGCATTAGAGAAGATTTTTAATAAGGTAGATACGTGTCATTATCGTCCGACAAACTCTTATAACTTCTCTCAAGAATCACATTTTGTCATGAAAATTACAATAGAGAAGTAATCTAACATGCTGAACACGATGGTATAATCAGTTTTCTAGCAAAGTTCAGAAAATCAGAGATGGTCTCCAGAAAACAACTTGAGAAGCTCGCGAAAAGATTGAGTTGTTTCAAAAACGATGACTGAGAACAACCAAAAGCTGTTCATTTCCTGAAATCTTAGACATATACCCAAAGAGGAAACCTCAGCATATCTTCCTACAACAAAAATTCAGTTTTGCTATTTTTTTCGAAAAACATGATATTTCGAGGATGGGGACTGGTCTTAATACAGGGTGGCCCAAAAGTCAGGTAACAGAAGAAAACTTGAATGTCCCCATTACGGCTCGAGCAAACGAGCTGATGTTTTTATCATTAGTCAAGGCATGTTCAAGCTTTATATCCATAAAGACATGCCTAGCGAGATCCATTGCTAAGTATCACTGTTGATCTGACGAAAAAATTTTTACTTTTTCACACATAGGAAAAAAACAATATTCAGGGGGTGCAAAAGTCACTTTACTGAAAAAAATTGAATATGTTCATTATGACTAGAGCCAACGAGCTGTTTTTCTTATCAATGATAGAGATATGTCCAAGCTTTATATCCACAAAGACATGCCTAGAGACACTCTTTGGTTAGTATATTATTTTTTTTCCTATGTGTGAAAAAGTAAAATTTTTTTGTTGAGATCAATAGTGATACTTAACAAAGGATCTCGCTAGGTATGTCTTTATGAATATAAAGCTTGAACATGCCTTTACTAATGATAAAAAGATCAGTTCGTTTGCTCGAGGCGTAATGCAGATATTCAAGTTTTTTCTGTTACCTGACTTTTGGGCCACCCTGTATAATGTAATACTTTGATTTAGTATTGAGACTCGTTATCGATTGAATTATTCGAAAATACTTCTGTGTTATCATATACTGTCAACATGTAAATCATTGTTCCAAACTCTCATCACAATATATTGTATACAGGCTAATCCAAATTTTTATGCTTGTTCCTTAGTTTATCGTCTTTCTTTTACGCCTGTGTTCTAGCATTGTTGTTATTTATGTTGTAAAAAGAATAAATACCTTATAAGTACTCATGTCTATGCTTAGACAATGTAATGCAAAGCTCTACTAAGTTCTTTTACTTAAGTATATAAAACAAAACACGTCAGCAAAACAGCTTCTACATTTTACTTTATTGATGACTCATACAAAGCACATTCATTCATCTTCTTATTGTAGTAAGCTGTCGA